GATACTGGCCCATTACCAAAATAATATTAAAAATTAAATCAAAATCAATCAGTGACCTAGATTGTAAGAGGCAGAATTATAAAACTCGTAGGAAAAAAAATCAACAGTATAAGTCTTCACGCCTTTTAATTAGGCAATACTTTATTTTAGGTTTTCAAAGCAGAAGAAACAAATATAAAGACAGGTAAATTGGACTTCATGAAAATGTAAGATGCATATGTATCAAAGGACACAATCAACATAGTAGAAAAGGAACCAACACAATGGTAGAAATTATTTGCAAGTCATTACATCTAATATGGGATTATACCCTAAATACAGTCTATAATTATATAGTTTAAAAAACAGCAGGATTTAAAAATGGGTAAAGGAACTGGAAATTGATAGAGTGCTTGCTTGGCAATCATGAAGCTGTTAGTTCAGTACCCAGCACCTAAACGGAGCATGATGGCATGTACTTATAATCCCAGCACTCAGGAGGTGGAGGCAGGAGGATCAGAAGTTCCTCAGCTACATAGCAAGTTCAAGGCCATCCTGGGCTAGTGAGACCTTGTCTCAAAAAAAAAAAAAAAACAACAACAAAACAAACAAACAAACAAAAAAACGATAAAGGAATAGATATTTTTCCAAAATTGATTTTCAAATGGCCAAGAAGTGTGAAAAGTTACTACTCACTCAATAATTAAGAAAATGTAAGTCAAAACTATAATTGTATTGTACATCCACTAGGATAGCTACTATTTGAAAAATAAAACAAAAACAATTCTAAGGAAATGACAAGTATTAAGGATGTAGGAAATTCAACCCTTACTGCATTGTTAAGGGGAATATAACATGGTGTAGCCACTATAGAAAAAGTATGGGTATCCCTAAAAATTTCAAGACTAGAACTAACATACGCTATAGTAATTCTGCCTCTGGCTATATGTACAGAAGAACTCACAGCAAGATCTAGAAGAGATAATTGCATATCTACCTTTATAGCAGCTTGATTCAAAACATTCATGGGGAAGAAGCAACATACATGTCCAGTAACAAAAGATTAGCAAAATGGAACGTACTTACAATACAATATTCAATCTTAAAAAGGCAATTCTGATTCATGCTGCAGCATCCATGAACCACTGGGACTTTATAATGGATGCAATAAGCCAGTGACAGAAAGATACATTCAGTATGATTCCACACACATAAAGTATCTAGAGTAATCAAATTCATAGAAACAAAAAAATTGTGGTTGCTATGGGCTATAAAAATAGAGAAATTAGAAGTTACTGTTTTTGAATATAGTTTCAAATTTGCTAGATGAAAGAATTCTAGAAATTGAATAATAGTGCAAATTTGAATACTGAATTGTGTACTTAATGTGACTTAAATGGTACATTTTTGGTGTTTGATTACCACAGTTAATAGGAAAGAGAGAGAGAGAAAGAAGATTAAGGAGACATAATCTCTATGGAACTCAATCTTGATAACATTTTTAAAAGCAAATTCCCATTAAGTGTCTGTTGTGCATCAGATACTTTGTATAGTGCATGTAATTCTAAGACAATCGCTATAATGTAGTCATTAATTTTATGATTCATTTATTATATCTGGACTTTGAATAAACAAACCACATCTACATTTTTAACAGAGACATAAATTCAGTTGAAATTTTGTATTTTTCTTTATCTTTTCTTCTTATTTGTCAGGCTGGAAAGGTACTTTGTTAGGTGTTGCTATGGCTACAGTGAATGCAATGATAACAGAATATGGCTGTAGGCTGGAAGACATTGTTGTTGTTCTCGGACCTTCCATAGGACCTTGTTGCTTTACTCTGCCCAGAGAATCGGCACATTCATTTCATAACCTTCATCCTGAATGCATACGGCTGTCTGACTCACCAAGTCCTTACGTTGACATCCGTAAAGCTACCAGGTATGTTTTATTTCAGTGCAGTACTAAAAGTTTGATTGTTTCTAAGATGAAAATTGCTTTATAGAACAATTAATAACTCCCCAAACAATTCAGGTGGCAACTATTTAAGGAGCTGGCATACATACCTGCAGGAAAACTCATGTTAAATCTGTGCTCATTTATATTGGATTCACAGAAATGTTCTTCTCTGTCATCGTTTATTTATTGAAAAGTGAATTATAAGTTGGTCTTTAAAGAGAACCACTTAAACATCAGTGATTTTATATCAGTTATTCCTCAGGCAAAGTCTCATAAAAATAGTAAACTATCAGAAAACTGATATTTTCCAAGTATTCTTATTCTCTAACTGGAAAAATGTATTCTTGTAAAATATTAGAAAATACAAATACATAGCCACTTGCAAGTTTTTATGGTTCTATGCATTTTGAATTTATGTACGTTTACTTTTTAATCTCTGTTGAAAATTATGTCATTTCTATCTGATTTGAGTTGTGTTTCTACTCTAGTCAGCAAAATCCTTCCCAGATTCTGACTCATTTAATGCATAAGTCGAAAAGATTGAACTTGATTCTTAAACGTGACTTGTAAAATAAGTATACTCATTTTTATTCGTATTTCATATCACAAACTGCTTATGAAGGAAGTTTTCTGTGAAGAATCTAGTAAATAATATTAAAGGACATGGGAGGCTTAGATGACTGAACAGTGCACCTGTCTAAACCAAATGAATTTTGAACATAAATTCTCTAGTACTTGAGAAGTTACTTCTTAAATAAACATTTTGTCTTTATTCCCTAACCAGATCATGTCTGCAGGGCAATGTGGAGGATCAGGTGGTTCATATTTGAACTTTGGTAATAAATAGTGATAAAGCTGCCATTTCCCAGCTAGATCCTGTTGTGTAACTGAATAGCAGTTTCTCTTGTTCCAAGTGGATCTTTCCTGGAACTCTTTCACATAAATAGACATACTGTTTTGCTTTTTGTTTTTTCCATATTGCTTTGACTATCAGTGAAATAAACTTTTGCTATCTTTTGAAAAATCGTTATTCTAAGGATTCTTCTAGAACAAGGAGGAATTCTTCCACAGAATATTCAAGACCAGAACCAAGATCTCAACCTCTGTACATCCTGCCATCCTGACAAGTTTTTCTCCCATGTCCGCGATGGCCTTAACTTTGGGACGCAGATTGGCTTCATCTCAATCAGAGAATGAGGTAGAGGAGGCTCTCCTCTCTCCAGTTGCTCATTTCTCCTCAGTCTTTCCGTGTCCTTCCCTCCCCATTTAACTTTCCCTTCTCCTCCTCCATCTTTCAGCCGTTCCTTTCCCTCATTAAAAAATGTATTTAATGCTATTCCTTCAGTCCTATAAGTTTTTATTCTAAGTGACAAAACAGCATAGAAAAGTTCATTTTTAGCAACATACTGTATGGTGAAAAATATTCATTTCTTTTCCTAGTTAATAAGGAATAATTAGGTAAGCTTATGTTAAAAGTATTACAAATAATTTAGTCTTTAAAAAATCATATATACATCTTTATCTGTGCTATTTACTTGATATATGTATTTAAGATTTTGTAGGAAGTTAGAGGCTTCGGTCACTTTCTATGAGGCTCTTGCCTGGGGGTGGGGTCGACCATTGAATTTGAGGGTGAGGGAACTGTAATTTTCCTGATACGGAGGGAGTTTTATGAAGCCTGGTCTCTGCTGGGGGCATTTTTTAAACAGTTTTCATCAGGGTTGGGGGTGGGGCGTGTGTGTGTGTGTGTGTGTGTGTGTGTGTGTGTGTGTGTCTACCCACATGTGGAGATCAGAGGACAACTTGAGAGAGTCTGTTCTCTCCTTCTATCATGTGAGTCCCAGGGACTGAACTCAGGGTGTCAAGCACTTTCACCCAGCGAGTCACTTCACTGACCCAGTGGATCTTTTATGTTCTATATAACATAAAGTATCTGTGACATCCAGTCAATTTGGCCACTGCAGAGCAAAAGCAGACATTGACAAAACAGAAAAAAACGTATACAGTTAAGCATTATTTACAAAAAGGATTTGGTTTTCAGGCTTCTAGAAAAGTATTTTGTGACCATGATTTAGCACTGACCCTTTAGAACATTATCCAACTTTTTCTATGGTTTAACTAAATTAATATTATTTAAAATCTTTACAATGTATTTAGTTTTTTAATGTCTAAAGACCTATATAGTTTATGATACTTAATATTCTAAAAAACTCTAGTTGGCATATCATATTTCATTTCTATTTCTTTTACAGGTTCTTGACTGGAATTTTTCATAAATACTTCCTACATCCTTCTATCCTGACTGCAAGAGAAAAATTTAGCTGCTCGATTTATATAGAACCAGGAAGATTACATAAGTTAATTCATCTTTAGGGCACATTTTCACTATTACCCAAAGCCAAATGATCTTGATTTAATTCTTATGACTACTGACAAAAGAATCGGTGTGATGTCATCCCTAAAGTTTGTCCTCTGTGTTCATTCTAAGTCAAGAATAGTCTCTTCAGTTCAGGATTTCAGTATTTGTAGGATGTTCTCTTTCTTTAAGCATTGAGTTAAGCACAGTGAATCAAATGAGGAAGACTTTTTGCCTTTGAGTCAAATGCAGTGAAACACACAAACACTTTATTTTTAATACATTTTTATTTTAAAAATTGCCTTATACAATATTAGGTTTTATCATGGCATTTTCAAACATAATTTGTTTTTGCTGATCATCCCCTTCCTGTTGCCTGTTGTCCTGTCCTCATGTCGTGCTCATGAGGACACATGCTCATGTCATACCCTTCCAACCTCAATGGCCTTCCTGCTTTCATGTCTAATGTGTTATCTTACCCTCCCTGCTCACGTTCCCACTTCTAGTTTCAACACCTATATGCACACTTACCCATATATTTATATGTATTTGTGAGTGTGTGTATATATTATATATAATATATATATATATAATATATATATGTGTGTGTGTAAGAGGGGAATATTTGTCCAATTTAACTCTGGTCTGAGAAGTGGCCTTTTTAAAAAGGAAGAGCTTTCAACTGCCAGTGGTTGAGAGCAGTCAG